GATATTTTGTTGTCTTTAAAACATATTTTTCTTTATTCTCATTTACAATACAATAAACAAATGTTAAATAATAATATTGAAACAAAAATTATAAAGAATTAAATTAAATTAGGTGGGTTGGTGAGTCAACCTGACTCACCACGTGTTCAACCCGTGTGAGTCGGTTCTAAGTGAGACAGGTTGAAAATTGGCTTGTATAAAAAAATTTCATTTTTTCAAACCTAACCCGGCCCGAACTTGTAGTGAGCTTTTTATTATTGTACTTTAAAAAAATGTGTCAGACAATATCTATCTATAAAAGAGATGGCAGTTGATAGAAAATTCTTGACCATAATTGCCAGTATAAGTACTGTATCCAACATGAAACTTATGGTTGGTGGTAAAACATCTATTCTCTCGTTGAAAACTCATTGGATCTTCATATATTCACTAGTGCAGTAAGAGCAAATGGCACCGATAACTTTTGCTTATAGGCACCGGTTCTACAACGAGGCATATATAGGCGAGGTAAAAATGGGTAAGTTTTATGCCTCGGTTATGAACTGAGTGAAGAAGGATGAGATTATGCCTCAATTTTTAGGTAACCGAGGCAGTAACATATTTTTTTTTATTTTGTCAACCTTTAGGATACTAATTCACTATGGAATGATCTTGCTGATGTTTCCAAAGCTGGTAAACAACCATCCTCATCTCTTAACATTGCTTATTGACCACTGCTACCTTCAAGCTTTCCTTCCTAATCACCACGTTGTTCAGTTCTCCGGTCAGTAAGCAAGGTAGCACTTTTCCCTTCTTCCTTCGATGGTCATGCCCGTGCACTTCACCCTCAAACCCAAATCCCAAGCTCAAAGAACCCCGCTGAAAACACCGCCGCAACTTTTCCCGCTGAATCCCCCTCCCTGCCCTCGATGGGAACCGTAAGAAGGCACACCCTCAAGAACCGCAAGGAGCCTCTCAAGAATCGCAACGCCTCTCATGAACCAGTAGCAAAACTCTGAAAAGGCCAATGAAAATTCTAATCCAGCAAAACACATAATAATCCAATCATTCATACATAGTCCAAGTAAAAAAAAATTGAACAGGGAGAGACGAGAACGAGGAAGCGGTGCCAGTTCGACTGAGGGGGTAGAGCGAGATCGCGTCTGGTGGCGGAGTGAGATCGCGTCCGGTGGCGGTTCCGACTGGTCCTGGGTTTGATGGATCGGATTGGGTGTCGATTGGTGGTGGAGTTGGGGTTGCAGGGTGGGAGGCGTGACGGGTTTGGGGGTGGGACGGGTCAAGATAAGGATGCAGCCATGGGCTTTGGGGGCGGAGACGGAGGAATAGGCTTCCACGGGAGCAGGTTGGATGCAGCCATAGGCTTTGGGCGACAATAACGAAGTGACGACGTTGAAGGAGAGGTTGGATGCAGAACCTTCCCTTCGTCTAGGTTTTAGGTTGCATCGACGGAGGCGGAGGCGCTGCGAGGGAGCGCGACGACAATGGCGACGATGAGGAGGGAGCGTGACGGCGAGGCAGCGAAGCGGTTGCGCGAAAAGCAGGGGACGACACAGCGGGAGGCAATGTGAGGCTGAATCTTGCGCGAGAACAGCGACAGAGTGGTGACGACGGAGAGGCGGAGTGGTGGCTATTTCAGGGTGATTGGAGAACATTGAAAGCAAAGAGAGCAAGAGAGAAGAAGAGGAACAGTGAGAAGGAGATTTGAGCGAGAGAGAAGAAGAGGAACAGTGAGAACTATGGGGTTATAAAACGCTATACTACCTCGGTTACAGATTTACCTGAGGTAATAGAGGCATACGACCTCCGTTTCAAGCATACCCGATACCTAAAGTGTCAGAAAATAATTAAAATTTTGAAAACATATACGCGTTATATGTCTCGGTTGGCGCGTAATTGATGTTGGAAAGCTTTTCTGCTTCGGTTCTACTAACACCCGAAGCAGTAGACCTTATTCAAAAATTATGTTAGCTTCTATCACATGATTTAAGTGCACGCTGGTGCGACTTTATGCCTCGGTTTCTGACTTAACCGAGGCAGTAGACGTTTTACGATTTAGTTTCCTATAAACCGAGGTATATAAGTTCTCTAAAACTACAAAAATGCCATTGTGCTTTTATACGCTTCGGTTTCAGTAAAATCAAGACATATATAGCGCGTTAAAAAAGCTTCTTTTTTACTAGTGATTTCTCAAGATATTTTCTAATGAAGTTTTGTTATAGCATCTATAATCACTTCCAATTTAGGTAGACAGCCGACAAATATACATCTACAGGAATTAACTTAAGTTCTAACCCATTTTGATAGCACTATACCTAATTGAGAAAATAGTTAAAACAATTATGAATTAGCTGATGTTATCTTGTTACTAAATTAATATTTATATTGGCATATATTTAATTAAGTTTTCAGTTTTTGTAATTTTTAATTGAGTTTTTTTTTTTGTTTACTAAAATTAAATTATATATTTTTAATTTATTTTCTATTATTTATTTTATTTTATTTTATGTAATTATTATCTTATCAGATCGTTTTATTCACTTATCACATGTTAAAAAATATCAAATTTTGTAATTAATATAAAATAATATTATATTAATATAAATAATAAGTGAAATTTATTGTTTTAATTAATAGTGTATATAAGAACACTAATCACACTATTACTTACAACAATCAAAGTGATGGGTTTCGTCGATGTCTTTTTTTTAATAGCTTTCAATACTATCATCGCAAGGTGATGTTCACAATTTATTACTTTCTAACACGTTTTTAATTAAAATAATAAAATTTACTCGTCGTTTTATATAATCTATATGTTACGTTAAGTATAAAACTTCACATTTCTTAACCCATTAAAATAATTAAATAAGATAAAGACCACATTACCTAAATAATATATATATATATATATATATATATATATTTTCAAATAGTCAACAAAGTAAAAGATATAATAAAAAGTTAATTAAAAATATTTAAATTTATGAAAAACTTATAAGTTAACTTAAGTCGTTATAAAAGTAAATTTTATAAGGAGAAGGAAATCATCAAATATTTAAACATGATGTGCGAAATTGTTATGTCGGCAATTTTGTATTTTTGTTATTAAACAGCTCATTCCGTGTTAGTTTTACTTTAATGTACTTGGATATAAATAATGGCACCGAAACGATTAATTTAAAATTTAGAAAAAATAAAGATAATTTTATTTAAAAAAAGATTTAAAAGCATTCATATTATATAATTATCATTTTTTTTCATAATGAATATATAGACGCTGAATTATTAGTGTAGAAAATGTGTGTCTAGTATGCGTTTAAGACGATCACGTATTAATATCAAATAATTATATTCATAGGAGAAATATATATTACTAAATGATTCATCTTATTTATTCATTGAGATTGATTCAGTGATCATTGTTAGAGTGATAAACATAAAGTGTCACGTTATAATCTTAATATACAAAAGTAAATTCATGTCGTTATATTGATACTTTTTATCAAACAGAATTTATGAAAAGAAACTACGTCATCATCTAAAGAAAATTAGCAAATGTTTTTCTTCATCTAATTTACTCAAACTAATATGAAAGATGTAACTATTCTAAATATTTTATAAGGTTAATAAGTTTTAAATTTAAATTTAACAAACATTTTAATATATTATTTTTACGTCGTAATATATATAACTCGTATATGGAACTAGATGTTAATTAATGATTTGAGAGCGGTTGTTGGATAAAAAATGAAATAATATATCTAATTAACACAAATTTCGATAAATTTTAACTATAATTGTAATATTATATTAAAAAGTAAAATTTAAATCTAAATTAATCTCATAAAATTTGTATACACTAATAATTTTAAATTGGTCTTGTTTAATCGAAGGAAGCTGTGATTTTTATTTTAAGAAAGTGATGTGAAAAAAACACTTGCATAGAAATTAGATATGAGTAATAATAAAAAATTTATAAAAAGGGTAATTGGAAATAACAATCCCCATTTAGGTTGAGTGTGTGACAGTGGGGAATCCTTGATAGCCTGAACTTTTTGACATTGTTTGTTTGTTTCATAGCTCCAGGGTGGGATTTGAGGTTGTGTAAATTTTATCAGACATTATAATAACCAATTTTTGCTGTGATCAGAAGTGAGTAGAGAGGAAGGTGTGAACCCTTTGACATTTCCTTTTCTTCATGATTTGCATATTGAGAACACTACCGAGGTTATTTCTGTTTCATATGGGACTTCTTCTAAATTCCATTGCTTTAATTCATCGTTTAAAATTTAAAGGGTAAGTGTGAGAACGTAGTAGTAGGTAAGAGGGAGAAAGTTTTTTGAAAGTGATAGAATGGGTTTGTATTTCAGAGTTGAAGCATGAAAAGGAGGGAAAAAGGGACTGAGATGGTGGTCCACACTTGGCTTAAAGTCAAAAGCAGGCATAAGAAGAGTATTGAGAACTACGTTGGGGAAAGAGCCCAATCAATGGTTTACATCTCATCCTCCTATCATCTTCCACTTTCTCACCATTTCACTCCACCTCTCTCACCTTATAATATTTTTTACATTTTCACAAATATAGCTTTAATCATCAATAATTCCTTCAACTATTTCACAATGCTTAATTATGTACCTTAATACATTGTTATTCTTTTGGGATTATAGGATAAAAGACGAGACACTTGCTAGTTTAGAAAAACTTCGGAGCTTTTATCTTCAATGGCTAAGATTGGTGGTCTCATAGATGATACACTAATGAGGTGCATTAAGCTTTCCTTGCAGAGCAACTCTTTACTTTAAATTTGAAAAAAGAACATACTTTTGTGTGAGTTGAAAGTAATTTTGCTGTTTATTTTTCATTATATTGCGTAGGTTAATGTTGAGGTGTTGGTGACAGTAAAGAACTGTATGTTGTAAGGTATTTACGAAAAATTACAGCACCATACATTATAATATATTGTTATTCTGAATATACTATTATTTGATTACTATTTTTACGGCATATGATAATGGTGGGGCATTAACGAGGTTAATGTCCTGAGCAACCCGCCGGTCTCCCAAACACGATATTTTCTTTTCTAACGGTTAACTATTCTTCTCTCTCCACACACACTCAGAGTAGTGAAGAACACAAGAACATCATAAGTTCATGTTGGTTCCTCTCACACAATGCTAAGTTACAGGGCACTGCATTTTTGTTTTCTGCTCACAGTTTTCTTGTCCGATTCCTTTCTGTTGTCGCACCAAGCTTCAGGTATTTCTCTCACAACTCTCTCCCTTTGGCTTTTTATTCACTGTTTAGGAGACCCTAAAATCTTGGAAGCCAAACAAGCCTCTAATTTAAACAAATGTTGTCACTTTTTTCACTGAGTTCGGTGGGGGACATAGGTCACCACTATGACAATGCAGGACAGTGTTTCATATGATTGTGGCTACTCTCTCACTCTTGAAGATGTTTCATTAGAAAGCAAAGCATGACCATTTTTGTTTTTTGCAGGGCCAGAAAATGAGGGAAAGGATGTTGTAGGCTTTTCTGGGTTGCATGTGTACGATGCTGCACCGTTCGAGAACTCGCCCGTTCCCTTAGCTGCTGAGAGAACACGAAGAAAAGACCCTCTTAATAGCTTCAACAAGTACTTATATGGATGGAATATCACTGACAACCATTATTGGGCTGTAAGCTCTTCAAACCGTTACTCCTGTGTACTGTAATAATGGTTTTATAGTGTGCTACTGAGAACTGTATTTCGTTAATTCTGCTGTTAGGCTCAGAATCTGTGCTTCTATTGAGGCTCTGGGATTGACATCACCTATCTTCAGCTATCATTCTAGTTTATCTGCCCAAACTATGAAATATAGAATTGTTGGAAAAGTAGGTAACGGAGAATGATGGTTGTATCTGAAAGTATCTGTGTAACAATAAAAGGGAGATGCTTTTGGTGCACACATTTGTGTTGCCTATTTTATACTTTGATTGATATAGATGCAACTGTAAGTATTACTCCAATACATATACATACATGGGATAAAATTTAAGAGTAGGATCTCTGCAGCCTCTGGTGATGTTTTCTGATAAAAAATTGATGGTTATATCAATGACCAAAGCAACTTTTTATTGGCCGACCTTAGGTGGAACTCATTGTTAAAAAAGACAAAAAGCATAAAAAGTGATGCACTAGAAGTGTTGAGTAGTATCCGGGTTTGTGTAAAATTGGAGCCACTAGATGTGCGTTTTTAAATATACATTTAAATATTCCTTTGCATGTATTTTTAAGGAAAACCAATGTTTATCTCCATGGTTGGTCATATATGCTTTATTTAGTTTTACTGGACGAAGAAATTGAATGGTCCTGTACTATGCTTCAAATGTAATTGTTTGAATTTGATTTGGCTGGATTATATACAGTTGGGTAATAATTTGGTGAATTCTGACTGTTTTATGTTGTTATGCTTTTCTTTTCTTTTATTTTGTCTCTTTCCATTTTCAGCACTTTAATCTTACCAGGCTGTTTGGTTTGCAATGTTGAATTTAAAAAGGCAAAATCCACTAACTATTTTTTTTATTGAATGCAGTCTGTGGCATATACTGCAGTTCCTATGTTCAGTATTGCAGCAGTTTGGTTCTTGGGGTTTGGCTTGTGCTTATTCACTATTGGTGTTTGTTACTTCTGTCGTAAAAGAGAACCTTATGGTTATTCACCAACATGCTATGCCCTTTCTCTTATTCTCCTGATGTTATTCACATTTACAGCAGTGTGTGTACACATCTCTCTCCTTATGTTTTTGCTTGCTTCAGGTTTTGTTGGATCTTTATCACAGATTGCACTTTTCTGTGTTAACAGGATCGGATGTGCAGTTCTCTACATCGGCCAAGGAAGTTTCCATCACAGCATGTCGTCCACATTGCAGTACGTGGTACATCAAGCTGATTCCACTGTGGATAAGCTTAGGAACGTGTCAGATAATCTTAATCAGGCTAAACAGGTTGGAATCGATCGAATTTTTCTCCCGACAAATGTTCAAACTGACATTGATGCGGCAGAAACAGATATCAATAACTCTGCAGGCACCCTTGCTGACAAGACAAAGGAGAACTCAGACAACATACAAGATCTCTTAGATTCTGCGTAATGATTGATTCTAATGTTTTCCGCTCCAGATATTTTTTTCTTGCTTTAGTTTTACTCTGTAACAGAATGTAACAATGATGCAGGAGGTTGGCGCTGATCATAATAGCTGCTGTTATGTTAGTCTTGACATTTCTTGGATTTTGTATGTCTCTTCTGTGCCCCCAATTTAGATGTTCAAATTCTTACTTGCTATGGAATTCATTTTCTTCTTTTTACCTGTTACTACAGTATTCTCAATTTTTGGCATACAGCTCCTTGTGTATATGTAAGTAATATATACTGTGTACCACCCAATGTTACATACCTTTCTTGCGATTCTTTGATAGCAAGCATAACTCCACTTAACACTATGTTTTCTCGTGAAACACTTGGCATAAATAATTGCAGCTTGGTAATGGCAGGATGGGTTCTTGTTACTGGTGCCCTTATATTATGTGGTTCGTTCCTTGTTCTCCATAAGTAAGTTCCAATTACCCCTCCCTAAAATAGTCAAAATATATTATTCAATGATTTTATCATATACTTGTTAATTAATTTTTCATCTCTTTTTTCTTTTTGGCTGTTTCTTTAGGCAATTGTTATAAGTTGCATTTAAGCTTCGTATAAAAGCTGCATTGTCTATTTAACGTTTCATAAGTGATTAATTTCAGATTGAGAGCACTTTGCTCATTTCTCTCAATTTTTTTCTTTGAAATTTATCCTTTTCTCATGATATCAGAGATCCTTTCTAGTGCTTGTTTTATCTGCCACCATCGCTGCTCTCTGGTTCGGTTCTCCTTTTTCTCTTCCTTGATAGTGGAGAATCTTCGATCGTTGTTCTTGCTGAATTTTCTTTTTGAAACTTCAATTTTCTTCTCAATCTGAAATTAGCACTTATCACAAATTTGGACTATGGAATGCACCTTTTACACGAAGCTTGCGTATGAAAATAACCGATATCAACTGGCTACAGTTGACTAAACAGCAAGCAAAATACCTGAAAATTGAGCAACACTGACAGACACCAATTAGTAACAGGATTTCTGTTCTTGCTTGAATAATCACATTGTTATCATTATCCAATCATGCCCATAGTTCAACTTGACATTGTGGTCTAACCCTGATGAACCTTTTACGGAATGCGATGTTTATAATGAGCATGTTACCTTTCTGTTATTTATTTGTATTTTTCAGATGTGGAATTCGGCATCTTTAGTGTGGAGCTAATTCCTTTTTGTTTTGGTAGTGCAACAGCAGACAGTTGTGTAGCTGTGAATGAATGGATCCAGTATCCCATTGCACACACGGCAATGGACGATATTCTGCCCTGTGTGGACAATGCTACTGCACAAGAAACATTTTTGCGAAGCAAAGAAGTAACTTCTGAGCTAGTGAATTTGGTGAACCAGGTTATCACCAACGCCTCCAACATAAATTTCGCTCCCAATTTCACTCCACTCTACTATAATCAATCTGGTCCCCTCATGCCGCTCCTCTGCAATCCCTTCCATCCTGACATGACTGATAGACAATGTGATCCTGGTGAAGTGACCCTGAGCAATGCAACACAGGTACATTAATTGAACCACTTTCATATAACATACAAACACTGCTTTCCCGTGCCAAGACCAAATAAAATAAAGAAAATCAAACTGATTTTAAATTACAATTCTTTTTCATTTTTATGTGTTGTTTTATTTTCTAGCAAGGCTTGATTGAATCATGAAAAATAGAAAGTCTCACCATCATGTGCATGGATCAATCAATTTAGAATTGTTCCCGTGTAATCAAAGACCTCAAGTTTAAGTCTTGAATATGTAGTTGCATTAATGCTAATATTAGTTGGTGTGTGATGCAGGTGTATGGCAGTTTCGTGTGCCAGGTTTCGCCATCTGAGATATGCATGACGCAGGGGCGTTTGACCCCCACCTTCTACAACCAAGTCTCCGCTGGAATAAATGTTGCCAACAATTTGTATAATGATGCCCCCTCCCTGGTTGAGCTACAAGATTGCACCTTCGTTCGTGAAACTCTGAGCGTTATATCTACAGACCATTGTCCTGGTCTACGGCGTTACAGTAGATGGATATATGTTGGATTGGTAATGGTCTCTTTTGCTGTCATGTTCTCTTTGATCTTCTGGATCGTGTATGGAAGAGAGCGTAGGCATCGTCTGCATAGAAAAGAGTTAAAGAACTTGACTCCAACACGTGCACCACCACCAGGACAAGCACTGGCATTGGCCCAAATCCCTGAAGGAGACAAGTATAATTAGCAAACTAGTTGATAATGATGTTGGTCTTCCATTGCCAGTTGGTGGATGGACATGTTTGAACAGTGTTTAGCTTTTTCCGGTGTTGGGTGTATAATGTTGTAGCTTCTTTGTATGACACGCTAGCTTTTTAATGAAATGTCATTATTTTACGTGGCATGATGAAAAGGAGGAAGCGAGAGGAGGAATCAGACATCATGCAAGGCACAAACATAAGGATAGAGCACATTGTTTGTTCTTGTGAGGGCAAAATCATGAGACCAAAATGTCACAGCTCTTAGATGTTGGACAGTGTTTTGTTCGGATGCAGTCACGGGAAAAAGTTAGCCCAACATGTTCCTGCAAATATACAAAAAGCCGATTAGAGAATAGGGAATACTGCTCACCCAATTTGACTGAAGTTTGAGCTGGTTCTCTTTCATTTTCTGGATAAGTTAGCAAATACTCTTCCATTTGGACCCAAACCGAACCCACTGAAAATAAAGTAGGCTAAGAAAAGAACAAGAACACCTCTGCAAGACAAAACACTTACTTAATGTAAGAAAAGAACAAAAAAGCAATGTATAATTTGTCTGAATATGGTTAATGTAAAATGTTAAATGTATGGCTTTTTACAGTCGACATCTAATCTTAATTAATTTCTAGCCTCGGTTGCTAATATAACCTTATATTCAAATTTATATAATTCTTATGTTTTCTATATATACCTCTGAATCCGCTATTAATAAGAAAATATATTTCTGAAATGTCATTCCTTAATTGTGATTAAAAAAACACAAACTAAATCTTCTATAAAGATCGAGAGGATATGATTTTCTAAAAAAATTCTTAAATATTCATACAAACTTTAATTTGTCAGTTCAAATACACATACTAACTCTTTTAACTAGATAGGTGGAAGATTTATACTTACTCTAAACGAAACTCATAATTATTTTCTTATAAGGAAAATTCCTTCAATTAATGAAAACACATTAGTTACAATACTTTTTTTCTAATCCCCTTGGATTGATGCTAAAATGATTTTAGTGAATTTTGTTATAATTAAAATGGATTTTTTTATCAACACAGATAATTTATGTTTTCTTTAAAAACTAATAACTTTGAATTGGTTGGTTGTCTTATAATATTTAAAGGATTAATAAATAAATTTTGATGAAAAATTAATGTGAGCATATATTAATAACATTAAATATTATATTTTAATAATTTCTTTTTTCATAATATTATGATGAAGAGGTCACGCTTATGTAAAGATAAGTAAACCTTTTGCCTGTTCAAAACATAAGCCAGACTCAACCCGCATGATTGTTATTAGGCCATATTTGATTAAAAGAAAAAGTAGGGTTAAATATATGTTGTGCTCCTGTAAAATTTAAAATATGTTATTCGTATTATTTTTTTCCTTTTACAATTTAAATCCTTTTTTCATATTTTTACTAATCAAAATAATAAACAAAAAGGTATGATTGACGATTTTAACAACCATTAATATCCTAAAGCGCTGCTTATATTTACCAAATTGTAATTCTTAATGTAGTAAAGAGTACAAATTTGAAACACAAAAAAAATAAAAATCTAAAATATTATATACTTACAAGACAGTGGGTAAAATTAATAGTATAATAATGTCAACATAAGTTTACCTCCTTAGGTTGTGTTTGGCTATTAGTTGAAGTTGCAATAAATGAAAGAAAAATGTGATAGAAAATTAACAAGAAAAGGTAAAGAAAACACGACGAGGTTAAAAAGTTATTTTAGAAGTTTTCACTATTTTGGACCATTTTATTGTACATTTGACAATGAGTGGTTAATTTTTATTGATGCTTTTTGACTAAATTTTGTCTATCATGTCATTTTTTTGAATTGTAAAACCATGTGTTTATAAAATTATGAAAAACGATCAGATTTTACTACTGAATGTTTAAGGTTTTAGGTGGTCATCATGACTTATTTAATTATCTTTTTTTTTTTTTGCTATCTTCAGATATCGAAAACATTGGAAATATTACAATAGCTCACACATCATATGTAATCACTAAATTGTACTTTCTTAATTTTTTAATTATTTTATAACGTTTTCCAATTTCTTAGTCATTATTTTTATTAGGCACCAAGTGGACCATTATGATGAGGGGGCTTCGTAGCCAAAAGTTGTCCTTCACAAAAGTTACGCGATTTTACTAAACGCGTTTTTAGGGATATTTCCTTGTAACGTTAAACTAAGAAAAAACTCAGAATTGCTTTTTGACTGCTATAATTTCACGAAAGGACGGTTTTTTTTAAATAGAAATACAACTAGAAATTCAATTTTTCATTCCTTAAAATTAATCAATATTGATTTGAAATTGATATATCATTTAATTACTTAAGAAAATGTTATATGTGAGTAATAATATTATTAAATGCTACACATAAGAAACAATGATTTTTAAGGGATAAAAAGTGGATTCAAGGGAAATAATAATTTTGTTATAAAATAAAATTTATAATAGAGGAAGAAGAGATTATTATAGAAATTGTATTTATATCTCAAAGAATACAAATTAATATAAATAGTTAAATCAATCATATGAGTTATTGTAACAAACCAATCAAACAATCAATCAAGTGTAATAAATTAATAGACAATCATATATTTTAACACTCTTTGTGTAGTGTCTATATATCTAGATCAGAAAATGTGTTTCGTTAAAACATTATTACAAAAAACTTTTTGGATAAAAACTTAGTAAAGGAGAAATAGTACATCATCGTTTATCACATATTCTATTTCTCTCCTCATGTGAACTTACATCATTAAGATAATAGAGTCCAATCTCGTGAATCAATAGTTCAAAAGTTTTTCTTCACAAATACTTTGCAAAAAAATCTGACAAATTTTCACATGAACCAATTTTTTGGATTTTTATATCACCTTCTCAATTGAACAATGCACTATTATCTTCATATATGATTGTTAATTCAAATTTTTCAAAGGATAAACCACAAGTTTGTCACACATGTTGATTATAGGCCTTAACCAAACACATTAATGACTTATCTTGTGTAATGCTAAATTTTTTGCATGATTTGACGATGTTGTTGTAGTTTTCTTCACAAATTTCCATGAAATGGTTGTGCTACTACATGTAAAAAAATATCTTTTTTATAATCAACCATTGTGAGGATTAGATAAATAACTTCCATTTGCATAATCCACTAGATATGATTTTAAATAATTTGGATAAAATAAATGCATATTCATAATATACTTAAGACAACGAAGTATATGTTTTCCTCCAATCTAATGTCTTTTCTGTATATGAATAACTATATCTTACTTAACAAATTTACAACAAATATTATATCAGGTCGAGTATAATTAGCAAGATACAGTAGTATTTCGATAACACTAAGATATAATACTTTTTAGACCAAGAAGTTCTTCATCATTTTTCTATTAGACTCCTTGCTAGAAGTGTATTAGCTCTTACAAAACCCTCAATTATATTTGTAGTATTAAAAAATAATGTTAATATTGAATTCTCACGTAACCAAACAAAAGAAAATTTTATTACTCTAAAAGAATTTTATGAGTTATTCTATTGTTATATATATATATATATATATATATATATATATATATATACCAAATAATCATACATACAATTAAATTTTAATGGACTTAATAAACTCAAGTACCACCTAAAATTAGTCAACTCCTATTATCATATATATATATATATATATATATATATATATATATATATA